TCCTTCGGGCACGGCGAATCCGTCGGCGGGGTAGTAGATGCCGGGAAGGTCGGTAAAGAACGAACGAGTCGTACTGCCAGCTTCCTCCCGATCGTGAGCGTCCATGGCGAGCCGGGTAGTTTGCGCAATGAGTAAGAAGATCTTGTGGCTGATGTAGAGGACCGCGGTGGGAGTGTGAACGCGTCGTCGCGAAGTGCCGGGGAGAACCTGGTCGTACGCGGCCTTCAGCATGCGGTCTTCCAAGACGGGGTCGTCATGGTTGACAAGCTCGATTTTGTAAGTCAGAGAAGCAGGGTAGAGATCCGAAGGAGGTTCAGGTGTCGCGGGTGCAGATAGCGGGCGGTAAGTCTGGGGTAATTGATTTGATAGGTCGTGGATGATCCTGGGGTAACCGGGCGGCGAGGCGGCGCGAATCGGGACTTTGATGCGTAGGCGGCTATCGGGCGGTTCCGAGAGAGGGACGGCGTACCCTTCGGATGGGTAGTAGAGTCCAGGAAGGCCGGGAAATGCGTCGATAGAGGCGTGTAGTCGAGAGGTTCCGTCGGGTGGGTCGGTCGCGTCGTCGTCAAAGTCAAGTACTGACTGCGGAGCCGTGAGTTCTGAGTCGTCGAGGGGATCCGGATAGGTACGTACCTCGTCGTCAGCCGGTTCCAAGGTCAATCCCCGGACCGTGTCGACGAGGTTGACGTAGTCCCGCTCGTCGAAGTATAAGCGGGGGGTCAGTTCGTCGACACTATATTTATTTAATAGTTCTCCGAACAGCAGCTGGCGGCTGCTCCGGAGCATCCGTCGGCAGAGTCGAAGATCGTCCGTTGGGACCAGCTCGAGGACGTAAGTCTGAGATTGTTGGTAGGTGTCCAGGTCAGAAGGTGTCGGAGGCGCAGAGAGTGGGCGGAATACGTTAGGAGCGTGAGCCGCTAGGTCGTGCACGGATCGAGGAAGGCCTGGCGGGGAGGTGGTTCGGATGGGAAGCTTGACGCGATCCGGTGTCGATGATGGCTGCCCGATGGGCACGGCGAAGCCGTCATTGCGATAGTAGCCGAGTAGGTCCGGGTAAGGGTCGAGTCCGCCTTCACGAAGGTGGTCCATAGCTTCTTCAAATCTTTCGCGATGGGCAGCGTCTCCCTGTAAGATCGATGTGAGTTTCCTGGCTTTTTGAGTAGCAAGCCCACCTACGTCCGAGTCGGCGCGCCGGTAAGTGAATCCGACCGCCAGTAGCTGATAGAGTCCTTCGCTGATATACATGATCGGCGTCGTGTCGGAGACCTCGTGAGGGGCTTGTGGTTCACCCGGTCCAGGGAGTCGGTTCGGCTTGAAGGGGTTGCCGCCAAGGCGAGAGTCGGTCCTCGAGACCAGTTCGATCCGATATGTACAAGACGGCGGATTGTTGAGTGTAGGCGGTTCGGGTGTCGATGGTGCCGAGAGGGGCTTGAAGTAGGCTGGGTCCGCTGCAGAGATTAAGTGAATGGTCCCCGGATAGAACGGCGGCGAGGCAGCACGGATCGGAGCCTTGAAGCGGTTTTCGCTGAAGAGGGGGTCGCCGAGAGGGACGAGGCATCCGCCGATGCGGTAGTATCCGGGAAAGTCGCTGTCTTCTTGAAGACCGCCGCTTTCGGTGATGATCGGACGGTAGTGTCGGGTGTCGAGAATATTGCCGGTCTGCGGGTGAGGCGTTGAAGGAAAGCGGACCGTGTTGACCTCCGGTGAGTTCAGGAATGGTGCCGCATTGCGCGCAACGTGCGGCTGCGGCGAGAGGATCTTGCGCGTAGACGAGGGGGCTGATTCGGAAAGACGGGTCCAGCCGCCTTCCTCCCTGGCAAAGCGAAGAATCTCGGTTAGTTCATCTCGAGAAATAGGGACGCGTGTGGCATACACAAGTTCGTTGGTGGTCAGGGAATATCCTTGAGGTGCCGTGCTGACGCTGGTCGAGTGCTGGGGCGAGCCGTAGGTCGCGGGCAGAAGAGGCGGCGGAGCATCTGCTTCTTGAGTCGGAGTCGAGAGCGCATCGAGCGCGGGAGTCGCCTGCGAGATCCGGGATGGCGCATGAGACATAGGGAGTGTCGGTTTTGATGCTGAACAGTTTGCGAGATTTGCGAAGAGTGAGCGAGCTGATTCTTCGGCTGGCGGGGAGAGGTGCGTACCGGCGTTTAAGTACTCCTCAAACGGGACCAGGATTGTGTCGGAGGTGTCGCCTGATTGTCGTCGGATACATCCAGGGCGAGCGGGCACCCGATGGGAGTCTTCGGATTGCGTTACGGCGCATGCGGGTTCGAGTGGAGCCAGTTCTTGAACATGGAGGTCGAATCCTCTGTGGATCTTGTGTGAAGGCCGCGGGCGAGCTAGGGTCCGAGTTTGAACCTGTAATGGGCTTAGAATCAGTTCAGTATCGGGTCGACTCGAGATGAGAGTGTGCGGGCTAAACGGGGCGTACCGAGGTATGGAAGGCGTACCGTTGGAGTGCTGAGGTGCGGTACCGTGCCCGCCTGCGATTGCGTCCTTCCACGAGTTGCGGGTGCTGCCATTCTTCGTAGTGGTGTGTCGATCTGGTCGCGTGTCCTGGGCGTCTGAGAGTGAGGGTCCAGGTTCAACATTTGAGATCACCGACTTTTCAGTCGTAAGAAGCCTCGAGTCGGCGTACCTCATGCTTCTATCACCCAGGAGCCCTCGCTCTCCTTCGGTTTCGAGTCCCTGGTTGATAGGGCGGGGCGGAAAGTCAGTAGGTCGCATCGGCGGTGATTTCCGGCTGGATGGTCCATAGACGGTTGTCTTATTGCCCGGGCCCGGCGTGTTTGCTCCATGGCTGCCGGGCGGTAAGTCGCAGAGTTCGTGCCGAGGGGGTACCATTCTCTTGCTGTGATGGAAGCGAAGCCCTTCGATTATTTCGAGATCAGCGTGTGACGGCGATGGTTCGACTGCGCTAGACATACCTGACTCGGTTCCAGAAAGGTACGGCTGCAGCGATCGCGTAAGGACGGGGGTGTAGTGCCGTAAGGAGTCCCGCGCGATCTGATTCTTGTTTGGTGCACATTGCCCGTTCAGGGCCCTGTGCCGAGGTTCCTTCGGATTGCTGACTCGTTGTGATTGGTGCTCGGCGTCGTGGTACCGTGCCGATCGACTGGGATGACCGTCATCTGGCTCGAAAGAGCCTGGGTGAGCCGGTGAGATCACTATTCGTTCAGCCGATAGAGACTTCGGAATAGCGTACCTCGAGCTTCCAATACCCGTTCGATGACCTACCGAGTGAGCCCCCGTTCCTCGCATAGAATTGCGAAGTGGAAAGTCGGAGCGCCGGCTCGACGACGACTCGCCATAGGAGGGCTCGGCTGTCGAGTGTTCGTCAGATCGGTCCGGCGTATTTGTTCCACGCTCGTCGGACCGTGATTCTTCGGAGTCGCTATCGTCCGGTGGGATGGTAATGAAGACGTGCAGAGTCGCGCGAGATCCGTCTGGCGGGTATATGTCCTTTGCGAACGCCGCCGCTATTCGAGTTCTGGGCGCGAGTTGTTCAGGATGCTGCGTGTATGCGACGAGGTTTGGGGCCTCGGTCCATCGGTCGCGCCGAGAGCGAGTCCGGAACTTTGCTCGGGAAGTATACGGGGACCGAACCTTCAAGGAAACGTCAAAGATCGACGAATTCCTTGACGATCCTGCGGCGTTACTAACCGGACGTCCTTGGCCTAGCTCTCGGGGTCCGCTATCTTCATTGTCGGGTTCGGCTTGGTCGGCTGGTTCGTTTCGGGAGCGGTTTTCGGTGCTGACCGTACGAGTGGACGCGGGGCTGCTGGGAGACCGGCCGTCTAGGATTAGAGGCCGCTGTCGAGTTCTTCCATGTCGTCGGGGTCGTCCATAATGTCTTGGAAGCGTTGGTGAGTCGTCTGGGAGCCTCGTGTTATTGTACTCACCAAGCTTGTCCGCGCCTTGCTCTTCCGGGTGGAGGTGGTGGGTGGTGAGTGGAGAGAGCGCCCGATGAAGGGGCTCCGTGTGGAGGGCTGAGTCGTGGCCTCCACGCCTATCTTTACGTGGGTCGTAGCGTCCGGATTCGGAATCTTGAAGGGTGTCCGGAACGGGCCGGTCTTCGTACATCAAGAGTTCTTGATGTGCCGAGTTCGATTTGAGGGGCGGCGTGCGTTCGGGTGCCGTTCGAGGGTGCGCGAGGGTGAGCAATATCCGGGTTTGCCTATTGTCGAGTGTGGTCAGCGTGACTTCGAAGGTACCGTACGTACCTAGAAGTCGGCGCATTCCCGCCGGGAGATGCGCGAGCGTGTCGGTGAGGGGCGTCCATTGCCCGCCGCGCAAGGGACGGGTGAATAGTCGCGCTTGATAGCGATCATCAAGATCTAAAAGAAATTCGAAGTAGTTAGTAACGGTGGCCAAGTTCGGGGAATCCGAACTGGCACGGGGCGTACCTGACACTGCCGGACGG